TGTTAAAATTACTGATTCAAAATCAGATGGAACACAGCAAAATAAAATTCAAATAAGTTTGGGTGAGTAATCCTTTAATCCCAGTACCTGCTAGTCAGGTACATACCTGTCAGTTCAATGCCAGACTGTTCTGCATAGTGCCAACCATGGGTGTATATTAAGACCTTGTCTCAAAAATTTAAATAGGAATAGAAAGATTTGATTAACTCCTAAATTCATGCTTCAATATTTTCTTTAATTTATTTTTTTAAAAAAAATCTTTTCTTATTTTACATTCCAATCTCAGTTCCCACTCCCTAAACCCCTTCCATCCCCTTCAACTTCTCCTCCTTTCTACCCCCTCCATCCACTCCTCAGAGAGGGTGAGGCTTCCCATGGGAAGTCAACAAAGTCTAACACTTTGCTTTGAGACAGGATAAAGGCCCTCCCCCCTATATCTAGACTGAGCAAGGTATCCCTACAAAGAGAATGGGTTCCAAAACCCAGTACAAGCAGTAGGGATAAATCCTGGCCTCACTGTTAGTGGCACCACAGTCTGCCTCAGTTATACAACTGTCAAGCACATTTAGAGGGCCTAGTTTTGCCCTATGCTGGTTTGTTTCCCCGATATCAGATCAGGGTTGGTGGGCTCCCATTAGCTCAGGTAAACTGTTTCAGTGGTTACCCTCATTATGGTCTTTACCCCTTTGGTCATATTATCACTCATTAGTCTCTTTGACTGGACCTTGGGAGCTCAGCCCATTGTTCAGCTGTGAACTCTGCATTTGCTTCCATCAGTTGCTAGATGAAGGTTCTATGATGACAGTTAAGAGAGTCATCAATCTGACTACAGGGCAAGGTCAGTTTGAGCACCCTCTCCACTACTGCTTAGGGTCTTAGCTGGTGTCATTCTTGTGAATTCCTGAGGATTTCTCTAGTGCCAGGTTTCTTGCTAGCCCCATAATGGCTCCCTCAATCACAATATCTCTTTCCTTCCTCTCCATCTCTGTCCTTCCTCCATCTCAATTATCCCATTTCCTTAAGTTCTCCTCCCTCCCCCCTTTATGCCTTTCCTTCTCTCCTCACCCCCATGCTCCCAATTTTGTTCAGAGATCTTGCCTATTTCCTCTTTTCAGGGGGAATCTATGTATGTTTCTCTTAGTGTTCTCATTGTTACCTAGCTGCTCTGGGGTTATGGACTATAGTCTCCTTATCCTTTTCGTTATGCCTAATATCTACTTATGAGTGAGTATATACCATGCTCTTCTTTCTGGCTTTGGATTTTCTCACTCAGGGTGCTTTTTTTCTAGTTCCATTCATTTGCATGCAAATTTCAAGATGTCCTCCTGAAAGGTTGCTCTGAACACCCTCAAAATATTACTTCACTCAGCTACCAACTGAGATGAATCTGGCACACAGGATACACCATAAAAGACCTGATTAACAGTGCCCCTATACAGTAGGAAGAAGTTTGGAGAGAAATAACTATGTCCATATTCTCAGATATTGTTTATAAATGTTCTTTTACATTTAAAGGGGGATATGATATAGATATGAATAATTTGCATTGATATGGATTTTAAGGTCAATTTTGTTATATGTATATGTATTTCTGATCTTGATTATGGTTGTGTAGTTTATTTAAAAATGTAATGTATAAATAAGAAACATAGGTTAATAGATAATCATCTATAATAGTCAAGTTTGTAGTCATGTTAGTTAGACTTTCTAGATGTACATAGATATATTTCAGATAGGTATTCTTCATATCTTTCAAAGACTACAGAATATGGCATTTAATGTTTTAATAACTTAGGATTTTTCATGATAATGAGACATGTCTGCTCCTGACAGCACCAAACTACTTTCTGAAGAAGATGGGCATCAAAGAGGCTCCTTATGGAATTTGCTAGCCATTTGGGCAAGAAGCTGCTTTTGCCTGGACTGATTAACTGTACATGAAGAACCCACAGAGAGAGGACTGTTGAACTTGTCTAAAGGTGAGATGATCCTTCGGGGTTCCTGATTCATGAAAGAGACTATGAGACATTCTGCAGGACACAACAGATAGTAACTGAACTGCTTTTGAAATTTCCTGCTTCATGGAAATGTCTGCTCTAAACCATGGGCCTGTAGGCTGAAGATGGATGCCCCAATGGTACAAAAGAACTTTGGGTGACTATACAGGCAGCGAGATGTCTCTGTCATTTCTAGAGTTTTGGAAGTTGCTTACTTCTTGCTTACTTAGGTAACATTATATCCTTCTGGAGTCTTTGATGGAGTTGAAGAATGGTTAGTTGTAGTTTTTCTTAGTGATCATAAAAGATAAAATAAATATAAATATTGTAACTGTAATTCTTGCTTGATAACTTTTGATAACTGTTATATGTAATTTTACTATGTTAAAGATAAAGCTTTCCTTTTTGTTTAAACAAAAAAAGGGGAAATGGTGTAGGAGGGTCTTATTTCTATGTGTTGCTTTCATTGGTTGAATAAAGAAAACTGCCTTGACCTTTTGATAGGGCAAAACTTAGATAGGCGGAGTAGACAGAACAGGCAATGGAGGAGTGTTCCCTTTACCCCACATCCTCTCCAGCATAAGTTGTCATCAGTGTTTTTGATCTTGACCATTCTTATATAGTTGTTGATTCTCATTTCTATAATTGCTAAAGATGTTGAGCATTTCCTAAGTGTCTTTCAGCCATTTTAGATTCCTCTGTTGAGACTTCTCTGTTTAGGTCTGTACCCCATTTTTTTTATTGAGTTATTTGTTCTTTTGATGACAAGTTTCTTGAGTTCTTTATATATTTTGAACATCAGCCCTCTGTCCAATGTGGGATTGGTAAAAAAAACCTGTGAGCCATTTTATCAACAGCAAACACTGTCAGGTGTTTCCCTAGAACAGATTAGTTCCCTTTAATTAACGACTATTAGAAATAAGAAGAATTGGCATTGATTTTGGAAGCTCTGAAAGTCAACCAATGTTTCAGAAAAATGAACTATTATCTAAGTACCTGGACTCACTAAGGCAACATATCTAGGTTATAGGCTCATCATTTCCTTTATATAACTAGACACCTTACTCATTCTATATTCCAATTTACACCATAACTTAGATATTTGAATTTGAGTTTTTGGTTTCTACACCACACCACTAACTTTAATGATTTCTGATTATAATTATGTGCTGCCAAATTGGCAACAAGAAGCCATCATCTACCTGCAACTACAAAACCCAGTAGATTTTTTCTCTAGGCTATAGAACTATATAAATAGTTATATAACTGAAAACTGTCTCACAAGAGTACCTTTTCTCTTTTTTTGCAAATTATTACAACTAGTTTTCCCTGAAATTTTTATCACATATTTTTAATGAAGAAAATGTATATAATACTAGCTTTCAACTAGGGTGTATGCTTTATGAAGACAGTTCTCCAATTGCAATAGGCCAAGCATTCCAACCATCAGTTCTCTTTCACATCACATTCATTCTCTTCCTGCAGTATGTGGTTCTCAAAGCTCCTTAAACTCATGCCCACTCCAGTCCCACCACAAGCCCTAGGCACTGCCTGATGATCTTTACAGAAAAATTCTTCCCCATACTTCTCATCACACTTACAGAAATCCTAGAGAAAATAGCTAATGATCAATTTACACTTAAAATGTAAACTTTTCACCTACTTTTTTTGTATGAAAAACAAAAACGAAAAGAATTTATATTAAATTGTGGTGCCTTCTATCACCAATGACTATTATTATAAATAATGGTATTTTGGTTTACAACTCAGGTTTAGCAATTTTTCTCCTTTAAGAGATGATCAGCAGCAATTATGGTAACCCTCCTCTCCATTAAATAATTTCAGCAATTCTCAATCTGTAACACTTAGATATCAGTACTTTTAATATTGAGTGTATAAATGAACCCTTGAAGCACACTGCTCAAGTGTCAACTGCTGGGTAGGTCTTGAGTAGAGAATTCTAATATGCTCCCAGAGGATGCTTGATTTAGAATAACATTGCATAAAAATTAATCTAAACTAGACTTAGTTCTTGGCTGAAATTTGGAGTCTAATATTCCATACAAATTTTAAAAACTGTCTACTACACCAAGGCAGTTAAGTTATTTACCTTTGTAATTTACTTTTAAAATCTTCTTACTAAATTCAGATTTGATCATTGACCTGTCTGTCACTCTCTTGCCCCCTCCCACAAGCCATAACACTGACAAAAAGTAAGACAGTCAAAACAGCAAAATGCTTAGCAAGTAAATGGATTTGCAATAAAAGCCCAATGACTTGAGTGTGAACCCCAGTTCCCAGTGTGTAAAAAGAGAACTGACTTGTAAATTGTTCTTGAACCTCCACATTAGGTTCTTGACACAAGCTTTTACACCTCCCCACACAATCATATTTTTAAATGAAAGTTTACCTGTAGCTAACAGGGGATTCCCATGTGTTTACTGTGTTGTTTATGAGTTCTAAACTTTTCAAATATAGTCCTTGGTCAGTTCACAATTTTCAGCCTTATAAGCGTCCTTTTCTTTTGTGAAATGTGATACTCAAAGAACTGAGGATGTGTTCAAAGCTTCCATCATTCTTATTTGTGGTGAATATTTTTACCCAGAATTCATTTTAAAACCAGAATCCACATAACAATTAAATCTTGTTTCCCAAGATTTGGTAGTACCTCCATAAGTTAGTTCAACTTACAAGATCATGTTATTTTATCAATGCAACACTGAATAAAATCTGATCCACCTCTTGTTTTTTTTCTACATATAAAACTCTTACCATATATTTATGTGAAAACAAATGATTACTAGAACGTAGTAAGTCTACCATCAGCTAAGGATTTGCGCACCATAAAATGTACCTAAATGCAATGATGAAGGTGAGCATGGTGTCACATAGGTGCAATGGCAGTACTTGAAATGTTGAGTCAGTACTATCACACGCTAAGGCTACTTGAGATACATAACCACTCCTTGACTCAAAAACCCAACAGTATCAGGACAAACACTGTTCTGCAGTAAGATGTATTTGAAATATGAAGAGAAAATGAGTTTAATATGACTCATGCTGGGTGGCTATAAGCCTAAAAAGCATAGCTTAACAGAGGGTCTCTTCATAAGAATAAACTTCCTTGTTCAGGTCCATATGGAAGCTCTGAAATACAAAAAGAGCTCTGTTACTAACAAATTGTTAATACAATTTTACTAAAAATTAACAATTCAGAATATAAAAAGCAGAGAAGTGAAGCATTTCCTGCATATCCCCTATTCTATCTTTACAAAACACAGTACTAAGTTCATTTTCTCACACATGAACTCTAGACTGACAGCTGTGGAGCCTTCCTGGGACTGAAGTAGGCCCTCCATATGTGGGAGACAGTGCTGAAACTTGAACTATCTGTGAGGGCCCTGGCAGTTGGATCAAGATCTATCTTTGGTGCAGGAGTTAGCTTATAGGAGCTCATTCCCCATGGTGGGATGCCATGCTCAATCTTAATACTGGGTGGTGGGGGGATCTTGTGCCTGCCCTAACTTAATATGCCAGACTTTATTGACTCCCCATCAGAGAACTTTAGTCATTGAGAGGAGTGTATAGGGGGCTGTCTGAGGGAGAGTTGGGGGGCAGGAGGAGATGTGGGGGAGAACAATAATTTGAATATAAAATGAAATAAAAATAAATAAATTTTAAAAAGATATTTTTCTCCAAGCACATTTTTTCCATAAAGTCTACATCATAGATAGTTTTAAGTGTCAACTTGACACCATTTCAAATCCTCTGGAAAGGTGATCTCAGTGAGAGTTTTTTTCAGGTCAGGTTGACCTGTGATCACATTTGTGAGGGATTATCTTAATTCCATTAACTAACATGGGAAGGCGCATCCCACTGTTAGTAGCACAGTTACTTTGGCCTGTGTCCCAAACTCTGTAAGAATGGAGAAGGTAGGGGCTGGAGAGATGGCTCAGCACTTAAGAGCATTGCCTGCTCTTCCAAAGGTCCTCAGTTCAATTCCCAGCAACCACATGGTGACTCACAACCATCTGAAATAAGATCTGATGCCCTCTTCTGGCCTGCAGGCAGACACACAGACAGAATATTGTATACATAATAAATAAATAAATAAATCTTAAAAAAAGAATGAAGTAGGTAAGCTGAATGCTAAGCATTCAAGCATTCATTTCTCTCTCGTTTTCGCTCAAAATATATGTGACAAGCTGTTTCAGGTTCCTGTCACCCATGTCACCTTTCCCCCTCCCAATCCAGTTCTTCTGGAGTTCAGGCACTGTACTGTTTTCTAACCTAAAGATCTGTAATTTTTCATGTTCTAATATATATAATCTTCCATTTTGACAAATTTAATCACCACTCCCAAAAATATGGCTTTACAGTACCAATTTTGAATTTTCTGATGATATTTTCATAATGTATTAATTGTAACTCATAGTGAGCAAGCAAAAGTATAAAATGGAGGTCTATGAATTCTGAATGCATTGCTCTTGTGTGTCTACTGTTTAAAACATTATATAACATTAAACAACTTACCAATGTTGGTTCAGGTTCTTCCTTCTCCACAATCAAGCAGAGAAGTAATAAAAGAAATACAAAGAAGAGACAAATTGGCACTAAGAAAACAATCTTTGAATCTGGTCCCATGTAGCCTAGGATTAAAACAAAAACATAATAAAAGGAGAAATGCTAGCAGTTTATAAAGACCTTTGAAATTGAATTATTTCACAAATATCCTGTCAGTGGCACAGAAATGTGGTTAAGGGGGCACAGTGGCCAGCACACAAATACCACAGCAGGGTCTGAGTTTAGCATTCCTCTTGTTGGCAAACATTTCATCCAGAAGAACTACTTTGCTCAGCTGTGACATCTATCCCATTTCAATTCCAAAGCACATGTGATTTTGCTTGTAATTTGATGTTGTGACATTGTTCATTAAAAGCACATAATACAAGAGTCAAGAGCTTAAACAAATAAGTCCTATGTGTCTCCTTACTCTGAGGAACAAGATCTGGGCTTCAATAAGGATGTATATGAGGGTAAAGACACTAACCTTACAAGGTCAAATTTTAAAATTTGTCTCACACTTTAGAGGCTGAACTGAAGAACAAGAGATGATTTTGCTGTTTGGCATTTAGATGTGACATTTTCTTTATTCTTTCTCTCTTTGGTAGTTTTTCTTTTATTTTAGCAAAGGTAGTTGATTGAACCACAGGCCTTGAGCATGTGAGGCAAGCATTCAAGCACCAGGAGATCACCAGGCCCAGAAGTGGAGTGTTAATGTTGCTTCTGCATAGTGGAACTGTTGGTGGTGATACTTAGACTCTAAACAAATGTGACCTTCCAAGTCTAGCATCTCTGACTTGTTTTGGAATAACATACGGCATGTCAATTTTTAGTTCCAGATCTATAAATCTACCCCCATCTCAATTTGTCTTTGTCTTATTCCCTTGAGCTCTTAGTTGCCTCTAGAAAATTTTGAGATTTTAATCTCAAACTATTAACCAAATTCTAATGCTTAGTATCATAAAGATTTACAGGGGTAATTTCCAGAGAAGTGACCAACAGGACAAGTCTCCTGTCATGGGATGTTAACAAGGGCAGGGCAGACAGTTCCTTTCATAAGGTTCTGTTTGTGTTCTCTCGTCAAGACAATTCCTAAGAAGTTATTTTATTGCCAAAATATTATTGTGCTACTTCCCCCCATCAAGTCCAGCGTATGTTGCCCAATAGCTGGTGGGAATGGAACATGACCGTAAGTGTGGTCAAAGGCTTGGGGGTCATGTTAATAAAGAAAGTTGACTCTCCCTCTCCCAAGAGGTATAAAATGACAAACTCAAAGTTTGGAAGGTATAAAGGTATGGCCAGATAGGAGGGAAGGATCTGGCAATTTTAATATGATCAAAATTTAAAACATAAAATTCTCAAAAAACAATAAGAGTAGTAGTAAAATTTTAATTCTCCTAAAAAGACCCTTCTGAGGGCCTGCCTGTGTGTGATCTGTGGCATGAGCTCACATTTTCACTCTCCAAAATTGTAGGAGAATTAATATATGCTTTTAAACTAAATATGTATAAACATTTATAATACATACAAATATATGCGTACCTATGGTTGTCCTATTTTTCTACAACTTGAAGTACCCAACAAGAAATGTATACTAGTAACCTAAAATTAGAAGCAACTCCAAAAATAATTTGTTCCTAACTTGTAAGTCTAAATTTAGACTCTACCAAGATACCTGTCAGGATGAAATAAATCTCAGTCATCAAAATTCCTGATGAGATTATATGTAATGCAAAAGATATATATTTTGATAATGTAATAAAGAAAAGTCTTCAAATCCACATGAAATTTATGGTCTAATGAGAAAATATAACTCAATACAACAGAGAGAGAGAGAGAGAGAGAGAGAGAGAGAGAGAGAGAGAGAGAGAGAGAGAGATACACATACATACATTTTCCAGATTTCTGATTTTCTGACAATGGAAACAAAAATAAAACTGTAGAGGCAGTAACAGTATTCTCTCTGATCACATTTGGAGTTTTTTGTTTGTTTGGTTGGTTGGGTTTTTTGTTGTTGTTGTTGTATTGTTTTGATTTTTGAGACAGGGTTTCTCTGTGTAACAGCTCTGGTTGCCCTGGAACTTTTTCTGTAGACCAGTTTGGCCCCGAACTCACAGAGTTCTGCTTGCTTCTGCCTCCTGAGCACTGGTATTAAAGGTGTGTGCCACCAATACCTGGCCTTAGTAATTTGTGATAATGTTAATATATTCTGAAACAAACCATCTAGGCTTTTAAGTTTGTATCACTATGCAATTTGAATATCTTTTTAGCATAAATCACTTTCATTAGCATAGAATGTGATTGTTTTTCCCAATTATAGCATCTGTGATAATACAGTGTAATTGTCAGCTTTCTGCTCTGTACAATCATCTGGGAAGACAGTCTCATTGAGAGGTTGTTTGAAGCAGATTGGCCTATGGGCATACCTGTGAGGCATTTTCTCATTTGTGTTAACTGAAGTGGGAATACCCACCCTGGATACGGCAGCATCATTTCATGGGCTAGGTCCTGGCTGAATGAAAAGGAAAGCTGCCTGAGCAGTGTTTAATGCATACAGTCATTGCTTTCTTCTCTTTACTGCTGGTGTGAGGAGCTGTTTTAAATTTATTCCAACTAGACTTCCCAACTGTGATGGACTGTAACCAGGAATCCCAATCTAAGTAAGTTCTTTCTTCCCCACGTTGCTTTTGGGCAGGATATTTTTAATCACAACAACAGACATGAAGCCAGAACACCATCTCAATTAGAAAAATTACCAGTACTTAGTATTAGGTACTTGGAGTCAGTTACAGCCCTTGCTTTTAACGTTCTGTTCTTATGAAAACTGAAAGCTCAAAAATAATGATTGAAATGGACTCTGAACCTTCCCCCAAGAAGAACTAACAAACTAGCAGAAAAACAAAACTGTTAAATATTAAATTAATTAAAAACAAATTAAATAAATAGAAATATAAGAAACACTAAATATATTATATAATATAATTTGTTATTATATGTAAATTAATAAAATATTAACATATAAATATAATAACATATAAATAATTATTATAGGTTAATTAAATATGAATATTGACTATTAAGTATTGTCATATTAGGCAGAGTATGACTTCTACTTCCAAATGACTACTATATTTTTAGTAAGCATATCATTTATTGAGGTACTTGCTTTCCCCCCATTTATAAATGATGCTCAAGACACTTTGATCTTCCATTACAAGCACACCGAGAGGAAATAAATTTGCTAGCAAACAGCCCAGAGTTACTTAGTGCCTATCCTTTCCTTAGTACATACCTTCCCAGCATTCCTCTTCACTCCATTCACTCCAAATTCCGTCATCTGCACAGTATATATTGACTTTACTTCTTACAAAAAAGCACAGCTCTTCACTATCATTTGTTCTTTTTTTCAACTTCATGTCATTTTTATCAGTGGCAGCCTGAAAGCCAAGAAAAAAAATATGGTGTGTTTATTTGACCTAAGTGCAACTGCTATGATTTCCTTTCTCAGCTTCGAAATGTTTGGAGACATGAAACACCTGCATTGGGATACTAGCATTGGTCATTCACTATACACTTCCACTTTGTAGCTGTACTTTAGTTTATGTTTTGTCCTATCACAGTAATTGGTTACTTGTAATAAGGAACAGTATGTGTGATATGTCACAACTCTATGTAGTTTGATGTCCATAATGTCCAGATTAGTGTCTGATATTCCAGGTTGCATAAGCAGGAACAGGAAGACTACATAAGAAGAGTTTAGTGAAAGAAAAAAGTATCATGTGAATGCAAATTTTCTGGCAACTGAAGTGTTCATATTTAAAATGTATCCCCTACTCTTTTTGCTCTGATTAACTTTTGAAGACCCATATAATAGTCCTCAGTGATTGGCGCAAAACTACCACTTCAGATATGAGACTACCGTAAAATATGCGGATACTCTCACGAGAATCACAGGGGAAACAAAAACTAAAGAAATGACTTCAGATTTCCACTTCAAAGTGCTAAAGAGTTCTTCACATATGCTATGATTGCTTTTGATTTATTTAACTTAGCTTCAGAGCCTAGAGAATATGTAGTGCAGACTTAAGTGGCCTAGGACTCAAGGTTTGAGTATACTTTTATTTGTCTATGAAGTCAATACACCCTTCTGGAACAATAATACTAACTCAATTACCAATTTTCTATTCTGTGAATTGAATCATTGAGAAACAGTAGTTCACATTTTTGTCTTTACCAATATCTAAATTGGAAACAAACAAGTCAAAGCAATGTATACCAAAGTGGGATTAAAGAAATCGCCAAATCCTTGATGTTGGGAAATAATTAGTTTCACAAGCATCACTGCTTTTAAAAGTCCCTCTTCTCTAGGAAATCTCTTATATCCCTGAGGACTCTTAATTTTGACTTCGTGGCTGGACTTCAGAAAGTAATTTCTCTGTGTGTGAGAGAGATTTTTGTAATTTAATTTATTAAGACAGAATTGGAAAAAGTAACTATATTGTCTCCAGGGTCTTTTGCAACTTTAAAATTGGCATGATTTGGTTATACTTTTTAATATTTTTATTGTCCACTGGATTTGACTTTCTGAAAGGAAACAGAAATACTTGTTGTGGTCCATTCTTCTTTTGAACAACAACAGATTTTGATTCTCCCGTATCCTATTATATTTAAATAATACATTTATGATTTTAGCAAATAAGTACAACATACCTCCCAGGAAATATCATCTTCTCGGACCACAACCTCATAAGTGTAACACCTTGGTGGAATGGGCCCTTCGGGTGTGCTCCATTTCATTCTAATCTCAACAGAATCCTCCATGCTAATGTGAAGGAATTCTGGTGGCAACGGTTTAACTAAAAAAGTAGAAGGAAACAGTTTCAACATGAAAGTTGCTAAGTTAGCAGCAGCTCTCATCCAAAGCTGGGGACACTCTGTAACAGAAACTTTCAGGGACAAATTAAGTGGCTCAAGATTATTCTCCTGATGTGACTGAAAACCACAGTTGCTTGCCAATCAAGATGAACTTCTTGAGAAATTTGATTATTTGGGAAACTCATTTTTGTTCATTTGGTTTTGATAAATTCCACAGTAATAAATATTGGAGGTGAAGAGGAAAAATAAGAAGCCCCAAATCATTGCAATGATTTCCCCATTTTTGCAACTTTAGAAACAACAGCCAAACCACCATTACTACAATTGTGAATACTTTCTTATTAATCTGTATGCTCTGGCTACCATTCCTCTGACATTGCACCAGTGTTGCATGGTCTTCCACTGTCTTCGCATACTTGATAAGGAAATTTAAACAGAGACCTTAAGCCAATCACCCAAACTCATACAATTCATAAATGGTAGAACCCCCAGATGTGGGGGTGCCTTTAATCCCAGTAATAAGGAGGCAGAGACAGGCAAATTTCTGAGTTCAATAGTGGGACCCTGTCTTAAAAGGAGAAAAAGAGAGAGAGAGAGAGAGAGAGAGAGAGAGAGAGAGAGAGACAGAGAGAGACAGAGAGAGACAGAGAGAGACAGAGAGAGACAGAGACAGAGAGAGACAGAGAGAGACAGAGAGAGGCAGAGAGAAGAAAAAGAAAATGGTAAACTAAGGGTTCAAATCTAGGTCTCTTACTCTTAAAGTTCTTGGAATAAAAATACAAATTCAGAAGACATAAAATGTTTTGGTTTTCAATAGTTTGTCATTTGAAGCCAAGGTTAATAGATTCTATAATTAATAATTCACTAAAACTAAACAAAAGTACTAAATAGCAGAGAGTCAACCTGGAAAATAAATTGTGATCTCTAAAAACAGTGCTGTTTTATATTTCTCTCAATATCTTCTCTACTTCCTCATCTACTCTGCTTCCTTTGTGTTTCTGCCTTTGCACTTTTATAAGTATCGCTCTCTCCTTGTGCCTCTCCTGCTCCCTTCAGAATGGCCAGAACTAAAATGAATGGTTTTGAAGTTGATATTATTTGTTCATATTTCACCTATATTTTGAAGTTGAAAAACGGTATAGCTGGATCTGATAGGTTCTGTGTTTGAGGATCCATTAACACAGATGAAGAAGTCTTTATAGTCTGATGACTCCAAGTCAGAAAGCTTGCATCCAACATTTTTTTCATTATCCCGAAGATAATTGGTACACTGCAAGGCTTGATCCAAGCCCTCATACCTATAGCAAAAGGAATATTTCAGGAATTGTTAGCAGCATCTTTTTATCCCAGTGATCAGTTTTGAGTTATCTAGTGATATTATATAAAATATACATATGAGCACAGTATATTGATCCAGTAGATTATATATATATATATATATATATTCATTTATTTGGATATAGCAATATAAACACAAACACATATGTAACAATAGTAATTTTTAAAAGAGTTCATGACTTTGAGAGGTCACTAGAGCAGTTGGAGAGAGGTAAGGGAGAGATAGAAACAATGTAAATATGGTACACATGTATGACATTCTTAAAAATGTTGTTATAAAAAGGCTACAATATGAAGAAAGAAATCATTTAGTACCTGATAGTTGCTACATGTGATATTCACCAGCAAGAAAATCAACCTAGTTAATTTCATGAAGCTTTAGTTCAATGTGAATCTTTACAAAGCAACTCAAGTATTATTATTCATAGATTTAGTTTTTGTTGACTCACCAAAGTTGATGAATCAAAGATTTGGATTATTAAGGTAGCCTTAATAATATTTGACTGAGAAAATTATTTGAAGAGAAAGCGTACTTAAAAGCAGGTATAAAATATTCCCAAGTTTAATAAAGCAAAAAGAAATCTTCTGATGTTATAACATATTGTGATATAAGTCTGAGAAAAATCAACTAGAGGAGGGAGTAAAATGAGCAAGACAAAGTAGTTTGTCAAGTGGAGTGTAATTTTCCCTTTGTCTTAAGCAAGAAATTTCATCCCATTATTTAAAGTTGACTTTGTTTCAGCAATACAGCTGTTGGAAATGAAGGAGATCTTGGGTTGTTACCAACTGATTTATAAAGCAATGATTGCTGATATATTTTTCTAAAGACTAGCCTGCAGTTCAGAGTATGACTTTGGCTTTGAAAGCAGTCAAAACTCCCTTCTGAAGTGAAACCAGCATAGTAGCTGATAAGGAGCTACTGAAAATATCTAGACTCTAGTAAATGAACTTTATAAGTTGTGTCCAACTTCAGGGATGTCTTTTCAATTGTAGTCTCTTGGTTAATTGTCTGCTTACAGTCTGGGAGCCTTCATAGCTATGATTTTGTTTATTTATTATGCTCTGATACAGGAATTCACTATCCACTGTCTTAGAACTGAATATGCAGCCCAGGAACTCAGTGTCAAACTCATGATTTTTACATATTACCTTCCCAAATTCTGGGATGACATGTATACATAACTATGTCCAACTGATGTTCGAGTTTGCAAAGACTGACTGTGTGGCTTTGGTCAGTGAAAAAACTGATTCACAATCTTTAAAACATTAATATTTGTTCATCCACCATCCACTTAGTAAGGATAAGGTTATGTTAAGCATGAATGAGTGAAACGTGTCTTCCTCTTTTGTTTATTGTATCTTTGTAATTAATAGCAGTGTCTTTTATTTAATAAATGTTTAATATTTATGGATTTAATGACCAAAAAATTAGAAATTTATCCATCCAATTCAAGATATTGAACATCAAACATTCCCCCTAGATGAACTGTCTGCCAAAATCTACCCAGATTCATGTTGCCAGAGCAGAGTTTAAAGCACAATTCTCAAAAGCACTAATCCTTTATACCCAATCATTTAAATATCATGTTTTTCCTTTAAAAGATGCAATCATAGTTGGAGCTGAAAGATCACAAAAACTACAAGTTTGTCTTTTCTTGATTTGTCTTTCTTTAGTATGTATAATTTCTGATGTTTTTCATTTATCGATGTTATCATTGTTTTCATTCTTTTAGTAGTAATCTATTGTGAGTGTGGCCTTCTGTAGACAGGTAAGAGAAATGTAAGGGTTGGGTAACACCCACTAATTTTAAAAGAACTTGAGGAGACAAACTATACACATGAGATACTTTTGAATACCCTCTGAACAACAAGGGAAGTTGTAAGAAACAGTAGTTTAACAGCAAAGTCAGTGAATTAGGTACCACATAGGCTTGTAAGGCTAAAAAAGAATTGGTAAAAGGGTGAGCCAGAGGCCATTCCAGATCACAGGATGTGCATGACATGAATAAGGAAAAGAATGTAGAGATGGATCAACACAGAATAGAAAATTACATAGCAGATTACAGTTTTGGAAAGGCAGTGATGCAGTGAGACAAAAACTTCAAAGGCAGCCTAAATTTGATGCTGGGCATATTTGTAGCCACTGGGGACATATTGTCTATAGACTGGTTGGTATATAAGAATTCCAAGGAAGAAAAAGCTACCTAGCAGGAGGGGTAAATGCTGCATTCACAGCAACCGCCATTTGAGAGGTCATGGCAGTCATCCAGGTGAGGAATGTGAAAGATCTAAATGAAGGTTCTTACAGTAGATATGGAAAATGAAAAACATATGTACAACTTAGCAAACAAAATGTCAGAGTGTAGTCATTGTCTTACAACAAAGCGATTATGGAAGTGGCTACTGGTAGAGGGGATTGTGTTTTTACTGATCTGTCACCCATGCTCCAAATTATGCCCACACAGGTGGCCCTAGTTAAATTCACCTGACCACAACATGAGAATTAAATTAAAACAAAGGAGATGAAAGTAGGAGGGGGTTTGTTGAGAGTAATGGAAGGAAATAGAGAACAGGAGTGGTGATTGTGACCCGAACATATTAAATATGCATAGGGAATAAAATCTTTCTTTAATTTTTTTGAGGATCAAGAATAATTTAATAGTATCAGACATAAAATAACTGATCATTTAGCAGAGCTGCCAGGTTGCCCTCCTTTTCTTCACCAGGAAGGGCATCACATAGGTAACATAAAGGTTTGTCCCAGAGGCATTGTCTAAGAGCAAGAAGAGTAATAAACTCAATTTCATGTCATCAACTGAGTTCCTCTTGATTCTCCAGGAAATAAAATTTTAAAAGGCTCTATGTTTAACACCCTCAGGAGCAGTTAAGGAAGAAACAGTGAGAAGGTCCAGGTTAACAGAGAGCTGTTTTTAAAAAACTAAATGAATAAAATGTACAAAAACTTTTCTAACTATAAACCCAGATATCTATAGAATATAATATTTCATCATGTGTGGAAATAGTCACGTGATACCTTACAGTATGTCCAGCCTGAAATTCTCACATAATTATGATTAATTATCATCATCAATATAACTCTGGTGAAGATCGTGGTTGTAGTTCAGTTGAAATATAGTTGTTTGTACTGTGTGCTAATCTTGACAGATGTTTTCCCAATGTGGGATTCTAAGTATAAAAATACTTACCAGAAAAACATAGTATAGTTGGCATCAGAATATGCTACCTTGCCAGGCTTCCAAGAGCAAACCAAATACTGCCAGTTATAATATATACACTTCATATCCTGAATTTTAGTTTCCAGGCTTCCTAGGAAATGAATGAACTATGAATACTTGGAAGACATAGTGATACATTTTCTTTGTAATCACAATGCAATTTTATTTCCTTTGGCCTTTCTATTTTATTTAGCAATCAGCATAATGAGAAACTCTGCAAAAGGAAGCTATCAGAAATCACCTTACTGTCAAAGAAGATATTGCAAATCTGAAAACATGTGAGGGCTTATTTACTGACACTAGTTTATGCCAAAGTACTAAATTAATTATTCTAAGATGCTCTCAGAAATGGAGCAAATACCCGTTCATGTTTACTAATATGGCTGCATGTTGAGGACTCTACTAATAAGATGTAGATTTATTTTTAAAAAAATTTTTCGGTACTGGAGTGATGGCTCAGTGGTTAAGAGCACTCACTGGCTGTTCTTCCAGAGGACATGTGTTCAATTTCCAGCAACCACATGGTGGTTCACCACCACCAGTAATGAGATCTGGTACCCTCTTCTGGCCTGCAGGCATACATGCAGTCAGAACACTATACATAATAAAGTGTGCACCACATTTTTTTAATGCTTGCTAGTTTATTAATGTGCTCAGAAAGCCACAACACTAACAAGAAAACATATTCTATTTTGTGCCTAATTGTCACATGTTTTACTGTGTATATAATCACCTATATAAGGGTTAAGGAATTTATTCTCTACATGTTTTTTTTTTCCGATAGAATCAAATGTGTAAAAGAAACTTTGTTTTGACCTGCATCGGATGTCCGATAAGAAGCTTCCATCCATGAACTTAGAACTTCTGATCCATTTGTACACTGCTCTGATAAATGTGTACGTATCTTTCCTTCGATGCCTTTGTTAAGATCAAACCCATCCTTGTAAATTAGATTCCTAGTAATGATGGTCTATTTGATTTAAAAAAAAAGATGAAATAGTTCCATTTTAAAAACACATTGAACAGTGATACATATTAGTAAAGCTAAACAATTATTAAAATCTGATATAATTATTCACTATAGTGTCCCACTTGCATTTCTGGCAGATATCACCTCTGTAGATAATATTGTTTGATAAGGTCATTCAAAAAAACAAAACAGAAAACATTTAGTAAGGGGAAAGGTTCTGTGATGGGAACATAAGCTTTTTACAACTTGGTGTTAAATAGACAACTTTCAACAATATGAGTATTGCATGACCAATAATTTGTCACTTTCAGATATAATCTGAAACTTTCAGAATTCCCATAAAATAAAATAAAATAAAGAGCCTCAGAGGTACCTGACAAAAACTGGACAATTTGTAAGCTTTCAAAGGATGAAATCATATATAATTCAGTCTTATGTTTCTGGAATGCAGTCAAGCATTTTGCCTAAAACATCGTTCAATAAATAACTTGAATTACTCATTGAAACTACCTAGCTGTATTATAGCGCTAATGGGACACCTTCAACAACAGAGCTCTGAATGAACACAATTGTTATTGTATAGAAATTCAATAAGCATTCATTGAAACCTAGGCATACATGGAACGGACAATGTCATGTCCTGTGATGTGTATGTAAAGATCTAACACAACATCAGGTATTTTGTCAGAATTGTAGAAAGTGAATTGATATAACAATAAATTGTAAAAGTACAGCAAAATACATAAGTATTCTTGAAGTTTAGATTCTAGAAGACCTGATTTCCTTTGTTGTCCTTTCAAAAGTAGTCTTAATACTGCACAAAAGGAAAACATGTTCCTGAAGATGCACAGAAGCTTCCATGAGAGCTTTTCATATATTGATTAGAATAGTTAAGGCACACAAAGTGGCAGATACTAGAGTCAGTAATACAAGAAAACCTCTAATGAACAGCTCACTCTGCTGTTACAAGCCTTGCTTTACTTACCTTCCATTTATCACTATCACCATTTCGGTATTTTAACTCATATTCTAGTGTGCATTCCTTAAAGTTTTCCACCACCACGGGAGGTTTCCATTGCAAATGGAGATAACCTAGCAATCCAGGATCCATTATTTCAAAATCCTGAGGAGGATTAACTGAAATGCAATTAATAAAGTATTTATATTTGTCCTGTATTTTATGACTAATATTGTTGAATGTTAATGATTCTCAAATATCCATTACTTGATTATTTAATAAAATTCTAGAGTTTCTATAAGCTATAACATAACTAGATAAAGAAATAAAGCACTGATCAAAGACTGTAACTGAAAATATTTTTTTTCTAGCTCCAGACACAGAAAGACAATTATCACGTGTACTCACTCATAAGTGGTTTTTAAACATAAAGCAAAGAAAGCCATCCTACAAACCACAATCCCAGAGAACTTACACAACAATGAGGACACTAAGAGAGACTTACATAGATCTAATCTTCATGGGAAGTAGAAAAATACAAGATCTCCTGAGTAAATTGGGAGCATGGGGACTTTGGGGGAAGGGTTGAAGGGGGGAGGAAGAAGCAGGGAGGGGAGCAAAGAAAAATGTAGAGCTCAATAAAAAAAACATAAAAAAGCCTTGAATGATTAGGCTAAGTGAAGGGAACCCATCTCATAAAACTACATATCTGGTGATTTGGCCACGCGGTGGTGGCACAGGCTTTTAATCCCAGCACTCGGAAGGCAGAGGCAGGTGGATCGCTGTGAGATTGAGGCCAGCCTGGTCTACAAGAGCTAGTTACAGGACAGGCCACAAAGCTGGAGAGAAACCCTATCTTGAAAACAAACAAACAAACAACATCACAGTGATTTCATTTATACAAAATACCCTATGTGAAGACAGTAGTAGATTAGTGATCACCAGAGGCGCAGGGTTTCTCTGGAAGAGAATGTAGGAATTTGTTGGCAGTAGCAGCTTCATAACTTTGTGGCTATACTGAAATAATCTCCAAACGCTACATTAGAAGAGTTATATAAAAATAAATCTGTTGAAGTCCATAATTTTCTGTGTAGCTGTCCGCTTTAAAGAAACCACATAAGCAAAATGTGATTATTGCCTCTCTAGGAATGATGGCTGCCCAGAAATACACTCTCTATGGAATCTTCTTTGCGGACATATACACCAGGATTTGTATAATATTACATAAATAGTAGTTATATAATTATTTCTAGTAGCGAAAGCCGATCAATACTAATTCAGTACCTTGTTACGGTCAGTATAAAACATTGTGATAGATACAAGAAAAACATATTCCCTATGCCTGAGCAGCTTAAGAATTTGGAGAATAGGCATGTCTTGTGAGTAGTTCATGGAGTTAATTGAATACATAGCGCCCCACAGTTCAGAATTACTCAGAGTTTGGAAAAGCAAGACTTTCCTATAAACTTTCTAATGTCAAAAGTAGATTAGCACTATAGTACTGCCCTCATGCTAGTGAGGCTAATTCTCTCTGCTGAATGCTGTTCTGTTTAACTTCAACTTGACTAGGGATTCCTCTCAGGCTTTCCATTGAGAATGAATTTGTGTCAAATTCAATGTCCATTAGACACTGAAAACTCAGATTTTTCATATACTTTAGTTTAAACTTCCATTTTCTGGTTTGTCCAGTTGTCTGTTTATCCATGTTGTGCTAGAAGAATATAATTTTCAAATGAAGAATACACTTTTCAAATGCTTAAGTTATTGCCTAAAAAAATTATATAAAAGAGGTCTGAAAATTGTTGTTTGATTTGGCGTTTTACCTAAGAAAATGTGATCATTAGTTTATCTTCTACTACATACATATACAAGAACATATTTTAATATCATGGAAATATTACTAATAACATTATCTACTAGTTTCATACTTTCATGATAAAGAGTGAAAATACCATTCATATCCTTTGCGATGACTTCATTAAAAGAAGTTTAATTTGTTCATTTACCTTTTATTTCCAAAGAAGGTCCAACTATTGCACAAAGAAGTAACAGACCCAGGCATTTGGTATCCACACCCATAAAAGCCATTTCTCCAAGACAGTGTGCTGAAGGCTCCACTCTAAGAAGGAAAAGATGACAGTGGGACTTTATCATACTCAAATAATCATGGGGGTAAATGTAGCTAATGATATTTCTGGGAGTTCTCTGTGTGCTTTCTACCGAGACAGAAAACTGTGTTCCTTGAACCATGGAAATTAACCTTGGAGTCAATGCAATAGCAATAAAAGAATTCTGATCCTCAAAGAATCAAAACCAGCCCTAATAAAAAATAATGGTATAAACTCAACCACATAAACTTATTGAGACTCTAATTAAGATATAGTGACTTCCAGAAGCCTTCTTCCTGAAATCAAAGTCATCAGAATATCCCTCTAGTGCTTTGGAGAAACTTAGACCCTCCACCCTGTATCCTAGTAACTACTTTTCCTAGATGCCAACAAAACATGCTGAGATATGCTACTTTCTAAGAAAAAAAGTATTTGAAATTATTCTACTCTTAAACTAATTCAAAAATCCACATGAACACCTCAGAAAGGTAAGAAATTTGTTCTAGTTCTTCATAACTATTCAGTCATCACTGTATACTCTCAACTATCCCAGATTTGCCCATTTTTCCTCTCAGTAAATATCACAGTATTTAAGCCTTCCTTAGTTCTCCCCTCTTCCATCCAATCTCTTCATTACAACTCTCAACTCTAATTGATCTTGTCATCCAGAATCTTATCCAGTCATTCCTACCACCAGCACATTGTCCACACAACTCACAAGAGGAGTGATACATCTAAAGGGACAATTGGGGCTTCTCCTTTCTCTTCAAAGCTGTAACAGCATTTCATTGTCACAGGACACAGGTGAGCTTTTTTAGGCTTCAAGAACACTGCCTTTATGATCAATATTTCAAGGAATAACACCTACAAATATCTACATCATTTTAAAAATCATTTTTTTATTTTTAAATTATTTGAGAGTTTTGTACATGCATATGATGAATTTTAGTCATTTTCACACCTATTTCCCGTTTCTAACTTCCATCCCTCCTGCTCAAACACTCAACAATTCTTTCTTCTACATTTGTGTCTTCTTTCTGCTTATGACAAACTGAGTTTAGTTCATGCAATGTACATGAGCATAGATGGGAGATTATTTACTGGAGCAGGGGTAATGTATCAATGGCTACATTACCAAAGAAAATGGTACACTCTTTCCCAACCACCATTAACTGTGTGGGTTGTTCAAGAAGAGCTCCTTTCCCCATCTTTGTGGGTCTTATTCAAATAGCCACTTCTTCAGTGAGTCCAATGTCTATGCCATATTCAGAAGACATTTTACTGTGTGTCTTGCCATATTCATGTTCCTACATCCTTTCCACTCTGTTTTCTGAGCTTTGAAAAGAGATATATAGATATGTATGCAACAACAACTAGTGAAAAAAGAAGATATAAACTGAAAGGGAATGAGAAGTGGTGTGGGGGAGATTCTGTATGCAAAAAAAGTAAAGGGGAAAGAGGGAAATATTATAATTTCTAAAATAGAAGAAGAAAATTAATCATTTAAGGAAATTTACCATGCTTAAGTTTTCACATTTCTTTTGGAATCTGAATCCTGGGACCAACCATTTCATGGAAAGCTGAGAATGAAAGTTTATGCATCTAATGATCAGTGGACCACTTTTATGTTCTTCTTCACAATTTAAGTCTTATTGCACCCTCTTCAACCAGTTCACTTAAAACCTTCTAACATTAGTAAACTTCAACTGTAATCTATTAGAATCTTGTGGTCAAAGTACTGGCTCTTAGTAGAAAGTTTTCAAGTCTTCTTTCCCATTTCTACCTACAGGCTATTAAAATTGGAGTTCAGCTATTAAATACCATTTACTTGATCAGTCCAAAACACTTACGCATAGAAAATAGGATAGATAGCACTTGGGGCCATTTTCAGATAAGTTTCCAACATAAATTCCTAACTTACACCTTGAAGTCAACTCAGACCTTCCCAAAAGAATACAAAGATAGTTCTATCATTGTCTTCCTGGATGCAGAACTGTCACTAGAGCACTGAGACTGGCATTAGTGTACTGGTTCCAGGAATTTTTCACAAGGTATGTTTGAAGACAAAAGGAAGGGGAAATAATGAATGCACACATACACAATCTTAAATGTCCATGACATACTAGAAATGTATCAAACAACTCATCTTGACAGAAATCCAATTTTTTAAATGAAGAACTAGCCGACAAAGAGGAAGACTAGTTTTCCAAGTTCACACAACTTACTACTTTCAGAGATAGGATCGAAAACCAGGTCTTTTTGACATCCTTTCCATAACTAGCCACCTCATTTTCTTGTCTTAAGAAGTTGACTACACCTATTATATAAAAAACCTCCTAACACCCAACTTTCCACAACCTACTGTCCCTACCCAGGCCAACTACCATACCATTTACATTTCAACCACATTTCTCACAGAGGAAAACTTCTCTCTCTCTCTCTCTCTCTCTCTCTCTCTCTCTCTCTCTGTATATATGTATGTGTATATATATATATATATATATATATGCATGCATTGGGTATAGGGACTTTGTTTTTTTGTTTACCTGGTAATAGTCAAATAAATTGTTTATTTTGCATAAGAACCAAATAACAAGTCACAATATCTGTAACGAGAATATCTCCTACAATGAACCCTGAGCATTGTTCATTTTGCAGGTATTATTTTACACAACTTTTAAAGTCAAGCTTGAACATTTAAACTGTATTTATGACATCTTAGAAATCAGAGGCTAAGAAACTCAGAAGTTAAACAATATACCTCAGGTTGCACAGACTGTAAATGCTGAAGCAGGGATTTAAATTTAAAAAAATGTAGAATCAGAGCCATGGATAGCAATTATGGCTAGGTATTTTCCATGCCTAAGAGCAATAAGAAATGCAACTTCCTGTTTCTACCCGTTTGGTTTTATGTAACACTGTTGCTAACACAGTTTCCCATTGACAGTCTCCTTTGGAATGGCAAACCTACAGTGATTTTCTCTTTTCAGCCTTCATTTCACACTTCTTTACAATAATACAACAAAATCCCTTTGCTATAAGATTTGGCTGAGGCTGAGAGTGAAGATTGAACTCAGTGATAGAATGTCTCCCTAGCTTGAGCAAGGCTGTGGGTTCCAGCACGAGCAACCACACACACGCACACACGCAGAGAGAGTCATTCATGCATTCACAAGCACACACACAAAGAATTGGCTGGATTATCCTTGCATTACTGGAAAAGCTCCAGGTACTTACCAATAATATGGTTTCTCAAGAAATGGTATTATCACAGCAGTTATCACAAGCCCTCTTTGTCCTCTCCTCTCCACATTAGACACTAAATTGAATCTCTGCTGTTTTCCTTCCTGCCAGAAAATAAAGAACACTGAAAAACTTAAGATAGGTGTTCCTGAAATAGCCAGAGGGCCAGGATAATGATTCTACAAATCACAATCAAGAACAGCTTATGGGTGGTGCTAAATGCCATCTAAGGCAAATTTTTAATTATGACAAAGTATTTTAAAGTCTGACAATGATTATTTGGGGAAAGTAATAAGTTTATTGCCTAGAAGTTTATTAGCATAAATAACCACCTATGTTTTATTGGTGCTTAAACTACTGGGCAAATTAGAAGCAAATTATATCTTCCACCTATAAAATAAAGATAATAATACAAGCTTGGATAGTAATACAAGCTTTGGCTGGAGTTTCTGGATGTTCAAATCAGATTACGTATATGCAAGTACTTTGAAAATAATAAATTGCTCTATAAACATGAAAGATGATTGCTTACAAGGATCTTGCCACTAGTCAAAACTTGCTTCTATTTATTTATTCCCCCTGTTTTTTGATATTTTATATCTCAATGTTGAAAACTAAGCACTTAGAATTAATCTCCAGTTTCAATCCATTATTCTGACTTTTTTGATATTTAATGACAATAATTCCTTTTATTTGTTGAGGTTACAGTAGTGTATAAATAGTTTATTGAATTAATTTAGCCGGTAGGTTTGGAGAATCATTGTTACAAACAGTAAGAGAGAAGTGATGTGGCTGTCACAAGGCCACACGGTTCAGAAAAGCCATAGAAAAGGAAGGCAGGCGGGAGAAGGAAGAGACAGAAAATGTTCTAAAGCAGTGGTTCTCAACCTTCCTAATTCTGCAATCTCTTATTGCAGTTTCCTCATGTTGTGGGGACCCCCAACCATAAATTATTTTCATTGTTACTTCACAACTATAATTCTGCTACTGTTATGAACTGTAATGTAAGGATCTGTGTTTTCCAATGGTCTTAGGCGACCCCTGTGAAAGGGTCATGATCCACAAATTGAAAACCATTGTTCCAGGTCAATAATATATAATTTGTTGCTTTTCTATATTGGCAAAAATAAATAACTTTTTTTAAACTATCTAAAATCACCATAGTTTTTTTTCTTTGAAGTTTTTTTTAAAAGGAAGAGATTAATTTGCAAAGATAAATAATTATTTATTATAGGCAAACTAATTAGAATTAGTGTTAAAAAATTAGATATTTTCTATTCATATTTCAAGGTATCCAAAGATATAAGTCAAGCAATTTACAACAGAACTTGGGAAGAATGAAAATAGTTAATATAAGAAAGGAGAGAGAGAGAGAGAGAGAGAGAGAGAGAGAGAGAGGGGAGACAATGATTCCTTGATTATTTGTGCTGCAGATGAGATGAGCAAACAATTTGAGGCTCTAATGTCAACTTTGCCATATGACCTTAGAAAAAGATCATAGGATCTGTAGTTTATTTTGCTCCTACCATGATCAATCTCTGTACCAGGTACTTCATGCAAATTACCACAGTTAAATTTCTCAAGTGTTCATAGCTAATTTTATTACCTCAATATTGCAAAAGAGGCATTTGAAGCTTAGAAAAAGAACACTTCTGAAGGTCATAAAAGCTAAACGAGCAAGGATATTTATCGTTTTCTAAAGCTCATGCACCTTTTAAACAGAGAACACCATCTTCCAACCAGTCTTAGCGATGGTCCATTATCTTTCCCTAGGATGTTGTTCTCAATTGCATCAGTCAGTCTGCAGTACTTTTAGTACTTCTTGTCATGGTTTTAGGATATGACTCAAGAGTACTGCATTACTGGATAACTAATCTTCTTTCAAGGACACCATCCAACAAGTGTAAACTATTCATAGCTTCTGAATACGGGCATGACTCAGCATCAGAATCAGAATGTCTAGAAGTTGCCAGGTTTTTGAGTCCTAATAGCATGCTGAGATTGATTCATGCCTCACAAATACTGCAATCAGCCTATGAACCACTGGTGAGTCAAATGTAATTTTGATAATAACATGTCTCACAGTAGATAAGCAAGTAAGGAATTCTGAATATGGTTTCACACACATTAAAGCAGTAACTTTGAGCCACACAAATTTATCATGAATGCCATCAATCAAATCATACAAATAATTTCATACAAAATAAGACATAAGGAATATTGGTACATGCTGAATGATTAAGATAATTATATTTAAATTAAATATAGGTAGGATCTTTATTGTAGCATATTATTTAAGCACTCAGTTAGCTACAGTATTATTATATTTACATCCCTGCTAAGATTGAGTGCTGATATAAATGCTCACTAATATTTACAGAATACGTTCAATAAATCTTATCAAAGCATAAGGAGTCATTCTATTCTTTATTCCCTCTTTAGATAGATTCCCATATGGTATCCTGAGTTCATCTGGCAAGCAAGGTTCCTAAAGTGCTATCCAAGCTAAAGTATTTGCCTTTGAGCTTCCATAGTATTATCTAGGTTCAAAGCATACATTCAAAAATCATCTCACACATTTCAGCATCTGTGCACGATTTACATAATTCAAAATCTGTCTCTAATTTGAGCAGATCAGAACTTTGTTATTTTATAACAAAATTTATCCCACCCAACAAAGCAACAAAACGCTTTTCATAATAACCCACTAAAGATCGTGGCTATACACTTTTTATTTGGGCATCAATTAGAAAAAATTCTTAAAATTTTAAATTTAAAATCAGTAAAGTATTAATTTAAAAAATACCTTTTAGCTGAAGAGAAAAGTACTGTCTTGACAGAGATCACTGTTCAGAATATAACAAGCAATCTTTCTCTCCCCCCTCCCTTTCTCTATCTTTATCTCCTCCTCTCCTTCTCCTCCTCCACACTCCTCTGATGCTTTCAAATACTGATTTGTAAATAGTGTGTCCTGTACCCAAAACATTCACATCATGCAACTACTTCAAAGGCAAGAAATAGGCTGTCATCCAGCGCCTCAATAGTCATTACAAGCACAATGCACAATGTGTAAAAGTAGGTTTTAGAATCCTTACTTATTATTTTCCAGTCTGTTCTTTCATATCTCCAAAATACAGACTGAAAGAACATGGGACTGGTATTTACTAGATCATAATATATTGCATCATATTATGTCTTCAGTTAGAGAAACAAATGTTTGCAAGTACAATTAAGTATTTATATTATATATCTATTATACAGAAATTAATTTCAGGAGCCTGTTATCTGCCACATAGTGTTATAAGTACTGAAGATACAACATTGAACAATAAAAAAACCAGTATTTACCTTCTCTTCTGGTGTTGGAGGCAGATGGTGAAGTCATCAAATCTTTATAAACTGTGCAAAAGAAAGCAAAGCATGATACCAAGAATGGCAATGATGGTGGTTCATTTTTGATAGGATGATGAAGGAATGCCTCTCAGAGAAAGGGACATTGAGATTCTCAGTGAGGGATTTAGCCAGAGTAAGATAAACGGAAAGAATTTTCCAAGGAGAAGAAATTGCACAATCTAAAGCCCTATAGCAGTAATAAGCTTAGGCTTAGTAGTTCCAGGAATAGCAAGACCAGCGAGACAGAGAATAGAAAAGGCTGATTTGGTATTGCGGTTTGGTATGAGGTGTGTGTGTGTGTGTGTGTGTGTGTGTGTGTGTGTGTGTGTGTGTTTAATGCTGCTTTGCTTTTAGAAATAAGGTTGCATGTAGCTGGAACTGTTCTTAAGCTTGCTATGTAGTGGAAACTAGCCTTGAACTCCTTATACTCTTGTTTCCACCTACCAAGTGCTGGAATTAGAGGGGTTTGCCATCATACCAGCCTTGAGAATAGGGAAGGTTGGAAGATAATTTCATCTACTTAGACATGGCAGGGGCTGTCACAGTAGTAAATATTTTATTTACTTGTAGTGAAACATGAAGCGGCTGGACAGCTATGAGCATATTGATATGACATACATTATATTTTGCTTTAACTATGTATGTGTTACTGTATGCATGCATATGTGCATGGTATACATGAATATGTGTACACATATGTGTGGAGGCCAGAGAGTGACATCAGTTATCTTCCTCAGTCACTCTCCACTGTACTTTTTGAGATAGAGTCTCCCACTGGATCTGGACCTTGCCAATTCGTCTAGTCTGCTTGGCCATGACAGCCCAGGAACCCTCCTCTATCTGCTTTCCCAACACTGGTATTACAGATGCATGCCCATATGTCAAACATATCACATAGGTGCTGGGGTCTGAACTTAGGTCTGTTTGCTTGTACAGAAAGCATTTCAATGATGTCACCACCTCCCCAGCCTCATAAATCATATTTTTAAAAGACTATCACATAAAAAGATACTGTAGAAACAATGACTCATGGTAAAGCACTTAGTGAATTGGAACAGGCTGACAGCAATGGTGATACAGAAATAATTTAATAGTGTATTGAATGGAGACTATCAAAGGAAAAATGCCTCTATTTTAGCATAGGCAACTGATAATTACTTCTGGAGCCTGAGGGTGAGAATTAAGAGTTCAGTTTGCAATAGTTACATTTAATCTACCAGAATAATAATGGTAGAAGTAGGTGAATAGTTGAATTTGCAGAGTAAGGGAAGACCATTGCTCTAAGTACATATTTGAGAGCCATGGAAGCACTGAAAGTACTTTGGCACAATGGAAGTTACTTATAAGATACTGTAGATGAGATAGTGTTGACATGTATGGTAGAGGAGGATCATGGACTAGAACCTTCAAATATAGAAAAGGTCAGTGTATAAAGAGGAAGGTACAAAGGACATGAAGCAGAGGCCAGCATGTCAGAGTTGGTGGTGTCCCTCTTTCTTCCAAGTAGAGAAACTGTTTCCAGGACCAGCACAATGACAGGCAGTGTCAAAAGGTCCTGCTGGATGAAGTAAGGTGGGACTTGTGAATGGTCTATTAGATTCAGCAAAGAGAATCTGAAAGGTGCTCTCTATAAATGAACTCATGCAGTAGAATGGCTGAATCACAACAAATTAAAGAGAGTTCAAAATAGAATGGTGAGGCAAAATTTGAAGACAATAAGTACACTTAACTCTTACAAATAGAAAAGAAGGGACAGGGCTATAAGTGGGATCAGAAGTCCACAATAAATCAATAAAAGTTAAGAAAAAGGAATGGAAAACACAAAGGATTTTCCCTATTTTTCACACAATTAGAACCATTCAAATTATTTCATCTCTGGCCATCCAAATCTGTAAGCATTTCTCTCTACAAGTAACCAACCAGCTACCTAACAGACAGCATCTGGGTGTCCTCTGATTTATTTCAAAAAGCATGGCAAGTTGAGGGCTGACACAGCTTACCTACAAATCAGGGCGCTTATAACCTCCTTCTCTAGTTACATTCATTTCATATCATAGCTCACAAAATCCAGGAAACATCGCTTACATGTCTTCGTTCACGACAAATAATATTACAGAATATGCAGACGAAAAATTTGGTGATTGAAGTGGCATGTGAGAAAGGTTACAGAGCTCTCCTGCCTTTTCCAAGCACCACTACATATTCAGCTTCCCAGAAGCACCCTGAACCCAAATCTTTGGGCCTTGTGAAGGCTTTGTGCAGGGGCATGATTGATTAAATTGTTGGCCATTGATGACCAACTTAACTTTTAAATTTGTCTTTTTTCCCTGTGCATAAGACAATAGCATCTGTGTGGGGGAGATGAGTCTTACCTCTTAGGAGAGAACAAGAGTTGTCTTCCAGGAAGTTGTCTTGAAACAAAGATCCTTTACATCAAAATGACCATATACGTCAGAAAGGCACACTTTCTCTCATGTGTGAAAACTAGAACAGAAAAACAATGGCGTGAAAGAGGAAAGTATAAGGAGATCAGAGTGAGAGGAAGGGGGACAAAGGAGGGTAAATGTAGTGTAAGTAATGTAGTGTAAGTATGATGAAAGTTTGTTATATGTATGTATGAAAACAGAACAACGAAATCCACAGTTACATACAATTGATACACACTAATACAAATTTGAAAACAAGCACATGAGAGTCACATTCAGTCACTAGTAATGAAGTCAATCGTTCTTCTATCATGACCAAAGATCAAGGCAAAGACACTCATATTTTCAGATTTTCAAAACACACAATATCCTCTTTGACAAGTTTTCTATGCATTGCAGGATTTACATTTGTGAGACTCATGTCACGGTAATTTAGGATTATTTATCAAAAGGTATCCTGAGAAGTATAAGCATTTGTGTGAGGAGACTAGAATCTTTCAAAGTTTGAGTTGGCTGGCTGGCTCAGTGTGTAACTGCTTTGTATACATGTGTGAGGACCTGAATTCAAATCCCAAGAACCCATGTCAAAAAGTTGGTTTTGCAGTTCTCTAATCCCAGTGCTGTTACACAGAGATAAGCAATGGAGACAAAGGAATTCTTGGATGTTCCTGGGCTTGTTCATCTGGTGTCTGTAGTGGCAAATGACAAAAGAGAGACCCTGATCTCAAACAAGGTAAAAGGCAAAGGCTGAAACTCAGAATGTCCTCTGACGTCCACATGGGTACCATGACAAACATGCATCCACACTCACAATTATGAATGCACACATATAATACATATTCATATATTATGTACACTTATGTAATACATGCATGAAGATGCATGTGCACACGTGCACACACACACACACACACACACACACACACACACACACACACACAGAAAGAGAGAAACTACCAAAGTTTATTTCACCAATGATTACCAACTGTTTCCCATTTGTTCAAATTATTTTGTTAAGCTTATTGCATTTTTGATAAATAGTGTTATTTTTATAAACTTGGGGCCAACATGATAGCTCAATGAATAAACGTGCTCACTGCCAAACCTGAGGACCCTATAGGAGTGTAGTGGTAAAGCCACACCTATACACACACAAAATACAGATAGATAGATAGATAGATAGATAGATAGATAGATAGATAGATAGATAGAT